GTAACGCTCCAGTTATGATGCTGTCAACCTATCAATTAGTTTTTCTTGATTTGCAAAGACAAAACTGGAAAGAAGTCCTAGGCAAAGGTGCACGCTAAGAGAGCTAGCCTTGATAGCTCATTGTGTTTTGCAAGCAGGTGTTCCGCTTGGGCTCTGTGTCACGCACTGGCCATGCAGATGCGGCTTACAAATGGAAAATACCTATTGGACCCTGAGAAGAATAAAGCGGGAGAGAATCTGTGATGGGTGAGAGAGGAAAGTGCACCTTGAAGCAGGGGACGCCCTGCTGGCACTGCCTATCACATTCACCACCACCATGTGTTTGTTCTTTTTATTAGTTTAACTGTACTTCTTGTCATTATGCTATGTTTGTCTTTCTAACATTTCGAGTATTGTCAACCGAGGCCTTGATCGAGCTATAATGATTATGTCATTAATATAATTAGTGTTACGATTCTGCACAACGACAGCCGTAGACAAGGACTAACCTTTTTCAACGGATCCAGCATATCTGCACCTCAACACACTATTCTTGTACTAATGACTACGAGAAATAACAGTAGAAAGTAGGGGACACGATAGCTTGGCATAGAGAGGGGGGAGATGTGGGCGGTACTCAGTGTGGGTGGTACGTGGGCTAAGGTGGGTGGCAGTTACTGGGGGGGTTCTGGGTGGTGCTTAATGGGTCACGAGCTCACAGGGCGGTCACGTGTCACGGTATACAGGCAGTTGTTGCACAGCACTAAATTCAGCACTTGAGCCACATCCTATGGCGTGCGTCTCTCATGTCCCTGTGCTGGATGGGGGTGCAGACAGACGGGCGCTGATAAGGTGTTGTGGACTGGGCTGTAATTGCATGGGGGTCTGCAACAACAGGGCAAGATTTCTCACCTGCTTGTCAAGCAACAACAAAGCACACAATCTCCTTTTGTGTCCCACAGCTCATTATTCCTTTATTTAAACCTCCTGTGTTGTCAGTCCTAGTTATGTTTTTGCATACCTACAGGGATGCTGAGAGAGAAATGACTGAGGTGCCACCAGCGGGGGGAGAATGCTTCTTGGCAGCTTTTTGCCTTGTGTTTGACTACAGATACTTTAAAAAAAAAATGAAATGTTTAAAAACATAGTAAAAATTCTATCTGACTCTTAACAAGTGGGTATAATGTTCGTGCTCGTGCTTTTCTGCATAGTGGGAGGTGTAATCCACTTAATGTCACACAGCAGACAACCTTTATGTTCACATCTGTTTTACACACAGCGGCAGCAGAGGTTCTCAGAGATGCTTGAGCCTCGTGTTTCATTTCTGAAGGAAGTTTTTTAATAATGAAGGGGAGAAATTGATCGGTGGATCCACAGAAGGGGGAAAACTAGCAGGTACATTGCAGGAATTCAGACAGGCAGACAGATGTCTGCAGCTCATGCAGGTAAAACCTGCATGTGGTAGACTCAAGTGGTGTTGAGGCTCCCATCAGTTCAGTTGTATTTCTCCAAACCACATAAATCTTACTGTCTGTTGGAAAAGAAGGAAACTTCATTGTTAATAGAAGCTCTACAAAGGTACTGCTAAGAAAAAAAAAAAGAGGGAAAAGTTATATTGGTAATTCAAAGTCGTTGCAGCAGCAGTCGCTCTTGATAATCCAGAGACTACATCTGAACAGCCTCTCATTTCTCCCTGTGGTTCAGACTAAACTGTTCATTACAATTTTTTGTGCATTATTAAAAAAAAAAAGAGAGAGAGAAATGGTAGCTCTTCACATTCTGTAGCAAAACACCTGAGTGGGGGGTAAACACAGGTTAAACCAAGTTCTTTAATTTGAAGGGCAGCTGCCCAAAAGCACACTGGAGCTCTGCATAGGTTTGTTTGGCCATATTCCCCATCATGTAAAGACAATTTGAGCCTTGTTTTTTTTCAACTCAGAGGTTTGCCAGGCAAATTGAACCTTAAAAAGCCCCTTAGCCAGGGGCTGAACATTTAATCTTAAATTCTGAGTCTTGATTTAAACCTTAGGAGGGAAATGTCCTGCAACTCCTTGCTCACAGAGATGGATGTGCTTTGTGGCTTTCGCCACCAGGGAGGAAAACAGCTCAAAGCCTCAAACGCACACTGATTTTTGGCAAATTGGAGCCATCAAGAACAAAGTGCCTGGGTGGGTGCTGGGGATAAATGAGGAAACCTTAAAAAAAGGTGGCTCCTGCCACTCCTCTGTGCATGTGCTGAAGTTTCTCCATCCCGTGCTTTGCCTCCCACCCTGCTGCTCCTCTGGGGAATAGGGGCCACTCTGAAGTCTAAGCTTACAGTAGATGTGAAGTAGAATGTCATGCTTTGCTTTGAGATTTGCTAGGCTTGAAGTCTTTCAGCTTTTATTACAGTGTTCTATGAATTACTGAAAACCACTCTAGTGTGGTTGCATGTGTTTCAAATTATGTAAAATTGTAAATGTAATTACAGAATTCCAATATACCCTGAAGATGATCTCCAGTTTGGTCCATCTCTCGTTAGGTCTGTAATTTCTTACACCTCCTCTTGATAAAAATATTCTTCTAAGTATTTTTCAGTTTCCCATACCAGCAAGGTAAATAAATTTAAGACAGACTGTTATCACTAATAGAGAAAGCCATTAGTTCTAATGCCTGTTCCAGACAGCTGAGCACACTGAGACAGAGCATTGGTCAAAAAGAGGTGTTTAAGGCTCTGCATAAGCCAGGCTCCACCCCTTCTGGTCACAGCTGAATTGCTTTCATCTGTGCTTCCTCACCTGACTCAGCGCTCGCCTCAAGTGATCAGTCAGAGGTTCAGGCCATATTCAATAGTTCCCATTCATCTGGTTAAGTTACGGTTCTGGGAGAAGAACAAAATTAATAACATACCAATGTTATAGCAGTCCACTGCTATAAAATGTAACAAGGCAGGATCCACTCAAACCTGACAGCAGAAGGTGTAGAAATAAGGGAAAGAATCTTCTTTTCCCATTTTCTCCACAATAATCTTTCCAGCTGTAACACCAACTGTAACATATGAGTACTGGGTTCTAGGTTTTCAGGGGCAGGGAGTAGAAGATTATTTCATTGCCAAGTTGGGGTCCTACCCAATTATCAGTGCCCATAATTTGAATCCTGATCAAGGAGGCCCATGTCAGTAGCATCTTCAGGGCACTGGGTCTGCTATCTCTGAGCTTTCATTAAGGTCTCACAGGGTTTCACAGTCTCTTTCTCCACACCTGCACGGTCTGAGAGTCTGCCTTCAGAGCAGCCTTAAGACTATTATTAGAGCATTCACTAAGGCCTGCCCCTGTTGGACTATCTAGCAGGTGGAATTACTGCTCAAACTGTTTTCTTCTGCCCGGTGTTGTGTCATTGTACCAGTGAAATGAGACCATTGATCACTCTCGATGACTTGAGGTGCTCCATAGGTGGCCATCAACTCTCAACTCATCTGAGAAGCAAAGAAGAGTTTTTGCTTTCCCATTGGAACTAAGCACTGCAAACTCAGATCAGGATCTCTCAGTCTCTGAATGAGGATCTTAAGTGATGACAGCTTACAAAAAATAATGTCCATCACTTACTGCATCATTATCTTTGAGTCCTGCTCCTTAGCAAAATTTGTACTTCACGTCAGCTTCAAAATCCAAGCAATTTATTAGACTGGGTACATACCTGCCACCAGGATCCACAGGTGACATTTAGATGTGCAGAGACACTACCACCTACACCAGAGAAAGAGAGGGATTATTCTAAGTTTCATTTCCTGAGGCAGAAGATTTCTGTGATCAACATATTGAAATTCCAGGCCAGCCTGAAACATAGAGAATCTTCTCAATTCAAATGGGAATGCTACATAAAGGTTAAGTAAAGCTTATTTTCAAATCTCCTTTTAGTCTTAGAAGATCACAGATTCAAACCCCAGTCTTTTGTCTCCAAGAATAGGGCTGTCTGATACAGTCTGGTGAAACTCCTTGCTCAGACTCTGGTGTCCCATGGAACTACACATTTTTGCATATCTTCGTGAATGCAAAAAAATCCCACATGCTACTGAAGTAAAGCTGGCTGACTTTGCTGGCTGCTTGGAAGGTCATCAATTCTCTTCCAACCTAAGCATCACTTGGTTTCAACCAGTATACTAATTCTAAGAAGGAAATGCACCAGTTACTTTCTTTCTAGCTTAATCTCTGCTTATTTTCCTCTGAGACTAAATCGTAACAGAAAATTAAATTCCAACTACAAAATGAGCAGGATTCTTAGTCCTAGGTATGATTTTCTTGGAAAAGCAGACTATTGGGAAAAGGCAGATTCACACAGTATTAAAAAACTACTAAATCCCACTAACATAAAGTATAGGTGATGTCAAAGATCCAACAGTTACTATTCTGGCTGCCTATTAATGCACAGAGCAGTTAAAAACTGGGCACTGCGGCTGCTTTTTCCATTACGAACACTAGAATTGTTTCTGAAGACTTAGAGATAAATGCACCAAATTAGTGAAATCTTTTTGCACACGCAGTTTCAAACTATCTGTCCTATCAACTATATAAAAAAACAGTGCAATATCCTACTTCAGAGAAGACACACAAACACACAAAAAGATTAAACAACACCCTACCCTCCAGCTCATGCAAGAAAATCCCCTAATCTTTGAATCTTACATTTCTTACGCTCTTTGAAAAGTACACTCTAGATTTTATTTTAAATGTGAACAGAATCCATTAAGTATGACCTTTTTTTAAAGAACTCAAAATGCACACCTACTAGCATGATGTATCAGCTTGAAAGTTTCTTCTCCATCTATTTCCTAGGCCAATCTTTGGAGGGCTCATGCCTTTAAGATGACTAGTTGATCAGTTGAACTTAGTTTGAAACAGATGTCAAGAACTCATAGGAAACACAGCAATAGCTGTTAAAGGAATAGGTTTGCAAAAAAAGCATGGATTTATTTTAATGCAGTTTCCAAATAAATATTTTGCTATTACATTTAAAGTAAAATGAGAAGAAAACTTAATGCAAAATATCAGTAATTGGAAAATTATTTGATTTTAGCCACACAAAATGAGTCGATGAATCTGATGAATCTTTTGGTTCAAATGAATGATCATTTTTGTTTATTACAGGTTTTTGTGGACCAAAACATTTTAATACAGAAATCCTTAGAACACATTTCACACTTCTTTTACAAAGAGTGATTTTCCATTAGCATCCAGAAATTGAAAGAATATATTTGGAAAAATACATACAAACTTACGACATTAATCGTAATTATACCATGTAAGGTAATTTTTTTTAAAAGCCAGTGTTTTTACCCATTGTGAAAGGGTGTGAACACAAAACAGTATATCTACACTTGTTATTTATGTACTTACATATAAACATTTTTAAGTGCTTTGATTCAGACCTGGTCATTAAACAGCAGACCAGAATATTAAAAGAGAGAATCTATCTAGGATATGGAATATCATTCCTTTGACATTCCAGCTATTTGCCTGCACACTGCATAATAAAATGAGCAATTACTTGTAACAGACTTTATTTGCTTATAATGGAAGGGCTTTTGACTGGAATTTATTTTGTGAAATGAAAAAGAAATTATAATACAAACAAGAAATTTGTTTTATTTTGGGCATATGACATTTATTCAAATTGTTAATTGGGATAGCTTTATAGAATAAGACTTCTGAGTAGATTTTTCTTCTCTTTCCTCCTATGTCTGTTCCAAGTTATGTTCAGACCTCTTTGATATCCATATTTCAATTCCCACTCTTCACAGGACAAAAAACAAATCATGTACAAAATTACCCTCTAAAAGGCACCTCAATCAACATCACACCTTAATATTTATTTGAAGGATGTCACTTGCATAGATTAAAGTGAGAGCAGGGAGTACATAGTGAATTCAAGTCATCAGCTATAATAATAATAAAAGAGAAAAATAAATAAGTTTGGTATATGAAAGTTTCTTCCCTTATAACCAATCATTTTCCTCTCACAGACTTTCTGTAAAGTAAGATCTGTATTCCTTCCAGAGTTTGTTTGTAAGCCATACAATTTCAGTATGCTCAAATACATTTCCTAAGCTATTTTATAATGCAGCAATACTTTTTCCCATGTTGCACTGGACACATTAATTGTTCTTTGCCGAGACAATATTTCCAGTTCTTGATAACGTTGTTTTGCACTGACTTCCAGAAGAGCTTGTCGCTTGGTTACACATCCACGTTCCGTTTCTTTGCCAATGGTCTTACATCTGTGTTACAAGGTTCACAGATGAAAACCACAAGAGTTCTGCACAGAAACTCAAGAGATAACACCTTACTCATGGATAATGCTACACTGTGTATATATACACTTACATACAGTTTTGCAAAACTTGGTTTACCAACTAGCTTTACCTATGGGAAAGTAACTTTACCTCTCTTGCAGCCAAGGGGCCCACTTACCTGTGGACTACCTTAATCCTGAGAAATGCCTGTGAATTCTATGGTTATGATACCCGACAACAGTGAAGTCTTTGCACCAGGAACACCGATGACCAACCTCAGAAGCACTGACTTTTGACAGAAGAAAGCAGTTGTTTGTTCACAGAAGCATAATCTCTGTCCCAGCATCTCACAGGTTCCATTTATGCAGGTCTGAAATTTTGACGTGGTTTCTTTTTTCATCCTTCTTTCTTAGTTTGTTGGTTTTTTTCCTTGAAGAAGGAAATGCTAAAAATAAAGCCACTGGGAACAACTTACACTAGAATATCACTTCTCTTACTGCACCATACTACCAGCATTATCATGGCACATGTCAATATGACTGGAATCAAGATCAGAGTTACGAGAATTTCATCTGGCGGATCTTCCCAGTGAATGTTGTCCAAAGTACAGTTTGAAAAGTACTGTTTATGAATTCCCGTGATAAAGCTCTCTGCAAGGGGGTTTGGCCAGAAGCAACCTGCATTGTTGGCTTCACGTTCTGTGCACTGGGTAAAGTTATTATAATACCTAGGAAAAGAAGAAAATGAAGTTTCAATTGAACATGTACGTATGTTACTCACACAGAAACAAAAAATGAGTGCTGTGTAGTCAGTGGTTTACAGGCTGGTTCAGCCTGCTTCTGTGACTAATGGGGCAGGGGGACCCATGAACCCATGCCCTGGGAAAGGGAAAAAGGGGAAAGGGTAGGGAGATGAGCCTAAAAACAAAACAGTGTCAGTGATCTGAGGAGGATAGCTAATTTACTAGAAAATATATCCACATGAAAGATAGCACGATATGATACAATATAATGCAATTCAATTGGAATTGAAGCTAAAAAATCAAATAAAATGAGAGAAAGTGTCCAAAAACCAAAGATCTTACTCTACTGCCAAAAGTGAGATGAGCACATGCACTGCTGGAATGAACAGAAAGGGAAAAAGAGACGTCTCATGAGCTGCAAAGTTTTTATCTTTCCCTCTGAATGGGAAACAGAATTGCAAAGTCCCCTGGAGCATGCGGTTCTTCTTCTCTCCTCAGAAGCAGGTAGTCAGAAATCCCGACAGAACTGGAGCACTGACTCTTTAACTCCCAGTCCACTACATGGTGTTACGATGTGGAGTACTGATAACAAAAATCATAAAACCGTGATGTATGGGAACTGCTGAATCAGAGCCTGAACCACTGATTGATCACCTAGGGAAAAGAACAGGGTCAGCCCTGCGAGCACAGGTGAAGGCAATTTGGCTGTGTGACTGGAAGGGGGGTTGAGCCTGGGCGCATCTCTCAGACCCCATTTAAGGGATGATTGCAACTGAGTATCATATAAAGATGTAAACACAAATGAACCAAATATTTTGAGCAAAATATGGATAATCAACACCTCATCCACCACTGGGCATGAGGCTTTGGCAACAGTGATGATGCAATACTGGAACTGAGACACAGCATGCATTGCTGTGTAAAAACTTCAGTTCTGTTGCACTCCTAGGCAGCAAGAAGATTATGGGAGAATAAATACAAGGAAGTCCACTTTTAACAACCTTAGTCTTCGACAACCTTCTCAATTCCAGTAAATGCAGAAAAGGAAGTCTTCCCTATTTATGAATGTTCTCAATAGTCATTGAAGACTGGGAGTCCCTCATAATGATGAAAACCTTATTTCAACACAGCCAGTGCCGAAATTCATTTGGCTGTGGATCAGAAAAGTCAAACTCTCTGAAAAAAATGGGAGAAAAATAATAATTATAAGGAACAATAAGCCTAAATGAGTAATCAGATGGGTTTTGTGGTGTTATCACAAGCCAAAGAAAGTCAGGAAGTGAATGAATTATCGGGGAGGAGATTGGAAATTTAGATGGCAAAATTTCTGGTCAGTTCACAAATGGGGGAAGATAAAGGAAGATGAATTATTCTCTTGTATTTTTTTCTATTTCTTTCAGTTCTATGTGATTGAAACTCACTTCCAATGGAAATAAACTTCTGATTATTGACTCTTTCTGTCACTATATACCGCAGAGGACAAATGCAGATTCAATTCTTTCCTGTGAAGTAGTAGAGAGAGATTCAGTGTCTGAGTCAAGTCTGAAGACTGTCTCAAGCCTGTCTATCAGGAGAAATACCTGCTTGCCCATACTACAAGAGAATGGGTTAGGAATACAGGCTGCAGTGTAATATTCTTAGAGCTGCGTTCCAGGTTAAAAGGCTTCGCAGGAAGCTCCTTCTGCGACATTATTGCAGTTCTCATTCTTGGTGAGCTCGAGTTGATACCAGAATGATCTCACGAGTCCAATCTCTGATGTTCTGTCACACAGATGCATACATAAACAATGTATGTATATTTTAAGCAAAGCAATGAGGAAGGAAGTTTTTGTGACAAGGTCAGCGGCCACAGTCAAAAACAGGAAATAAGCTTAAAATAAAACATGAATACTAGGTGTTTGCTGTTGTCACAGTGCCGTTCTTCTCTGCAACCCCACTACATTCATTCTCTTTGTTGTGGGACTAAATTAGAATCTAAAGCTGTCTAGTGAGTGTGGAAGAGACAGCCCAAGGGGACCTGAAGAAAAATACATCTGAGGGCATGTCTACCAGATCAACAGACTGCAGAGCTGAGGTGCCAGAGGTAGCACTGAACTGCCCAGAGGTCAGTGTTCTGTCTAGAACGGATGCCAGACCGGGCTCCAGAGTGAGTCAGGCTCTGCTCCAGCCCTGCTCTGTGCCATACTCTGGTGAGCAAGCTGTCCCACTAATGTTACTTCAGCTCTTTGCTGCCACTTCAGTATACCTATCTGCTTGTGTGGAGTACAAATTATAAGGTCCTACAGAAAGCTCACTACGCCTTCAAGAGATGTTAGCTTTTTATGTAATGTTGGAAGGTATAACCAAAATATTTCCTGCCAATTTTGCATTTCAAGTCCAAACACAGCCAGAAAAGTCTGGTTAAACTGTACTAGAAGGTCATATAAAAAATTATAGGGAGTTATATTGTATTGAAAGGCTGGATCAAAATACAATATAAATGTTATACTACGTTTGAATTCCTCATAGCTTTCCCTTTATCCCTTCAATCAAAACAAAGAAATTAGCTACTTTTCCTATGGAATTGTAATAACATAAGAAAAAACACACCTGAGAACTATGTGTCTGGCAGGAAAGTTCAATTCACTCAAATATTGAGTCAGTTTAATATCTCAGAGCTTATGCACTTCAGCAAGTATCTCGTATTTTAACAAAAAAAATCCTCCATGTGGTACTGCGTAGCAACTGCTTTAGAAGGGAACAACTGAGTTCTAATTACAATGGCATGTGTCTTCTGGATTTGATCGTTCTGCAAAAGTTTTTTTTAGTTATTGTTTTTTAAAGGGAGGCGGAGGTTAATAAACACTTAATGCAAAATCAACTTACCTGTGCTTAATTCCCTTATGTTTTAAGCAACTCCCTTAATTCAGATTGAAAAGGCTAGCTAGAACGACTAGTTTTTATTTTTTAAACTAAAGAATCCTATGACAAAGAAGTCCTGGCCTCTGCCTGTAAGTAATTCAACATAAATGCTTACAAATTACAGACTTTGTGATAGGAAAATACATATGTCATTTTCTATTTATTTCCAAAACAAGTAATTGGAGAGCAGTACAGTAATGTAAGTTCCAATACTTTACTTCTCAGACTATAAAGGAGTAATGGAAGGTTATTATTCTCCGTGCTGAACCACAGACTCTTTATCAGGGTCTGTGGTGACAGGACAAGGTGAAATGGTTTCACACTTAAAGAGTGGCAATTTAGGTTGGATGTAAGGAAAAAGCCTTTTACAGTGTGGGTGGTGAGGCACAGGAACAGGTCGTGCTGAGATGTGATGGGCGCCCTATCCCTCGAGACATTCAGGGCCTGTCTGGAGGGGGCTCTGAGCACCTGCTCAGCAATGGATGTCCCTGCTCACTGCAGGGGAGTTGGACTAGGTGACTGTTACAGGTCTCTTTCAACTCTAAGGATTCTATGATTCTTTGATTCCATTTTCAAATTCCTTCATCAAAACGGAAAGCACTGCTGCGCATTCTTTGCTGTTCAGAGCCCTGTGTTTAGTGAATGTATCAAAACACATACAATTATTTGCCATGTCTGCCTTCGCCATGCCCTGGTTTCAGCTGACACTTAATAATATACTGACAATTTGGTTCTTGCTGAGTAATGAGCACGTGCCCAGGGCCAATCCACAGGAAGAGCCGCCATCTTCAAGTCACAGGGATGGGCTGTGTTGCATGTTGCTTTGGGTTGCATGCAGCCTGCGGGCAGCAGGTTGTACATGCCTGAACTAGAGTCTCAATATAATTTGTCTAAACCTTTATTTCCTGTGCTGTTACGTGAACAAGTTATGGCAGGGCACGTTAGTTCTTCAAGGATGAGACCCAAAATGAAGAAGGCTGAACTACTATCTAGCTTTTGGAGGAAAAATACATGTTCAGAAGGAACAAAAAGTCTATTATTTTGATGTCCATCACAATAAAATACTGCTGGCAATGAGTTTTTCTGTATGAATGCATTCATGAATTTATAGTTGACCTTCAGGGATCATAGAAAACTAAACAATATTCCACCACATCTTCTAGGAAAAGTACTCCTTGACTTTTGTAAATATTAATGGCAGTGATCACTGTAGTGAACATGGATTGAATTAGAATTTGCCAAGTTGAGGCAAATCTTTTTGCAGGTTTGACACAACATATACTACTCTGCTGAATTAATTAACATGCACATTGGACACTGCACTTCAGTCTTATGATTGGACATTTCTTCACTGTAAAGATAAGGACATTTGTGGCTCACTGCTTTTAAACCACTGCTTGATTTTAAAAATAGAATTAAAACTTCAGTGCTAGAGCAGCTGATAGAGACCACACTTACAACCACAGCTCATTTCTGCCTAAGATCCCCAGACACAGCTAAGTTGCTTAACAAGTTTCTCAGTAAAAAACTTCCTCAAATTTGCAGTAGCAACCCTGTTATCTCAGTTCAGAATGAGCTTAACATGCAATATTGCAAATAGGACTGAGGACTTGGTACATCACTACTGAATAAAGTCTAATGCCTGCTCTCTGCTCTGGTCCAACACTAGCAGATACTGCAGTAACACTGACATTTGACAGAAAACGGATAACAGCCAGGGAGATAAGAAGGTCCATTTGTTATTCATTGAAATTTGAAAGAAAGCAGAATAATTTTTAAAACAGATTTTAATGTGACAGACCTTGTGGCCACTCCAACCCTTGCGACAAGGCCTTGCAGTTCAGCCAGAGAACAAACCAGCCAGTGTCATTCACCCCTAGACACAACAGGGAAAAATGGTTGCAAAAGTCAGATTGTTGAGTAAGGGAAGGAACTACTCCTGCTAAGATATAAGAAGGAAATGAAGATGAAGCAGATGAAAGAGGGCCATAACAAGAACGTGAGGAGGAAAAGGAAGAACTCACAGAGGCAACAGCTGTCTGACCCCTAACCATGGGTGACCTGTGAGATATATGCAAAGACTT